AACGAAAGTGTATGGCTACTGACTGTAAAAACTGAACTGAACTTTATCCCCTGTCCCATCTGGGATACTACTAAATCACGCAGCGCTCGTAACTCAAGACCTGTCGTCGGTCTTTCAAAAATTGTTTGATGAAGCAAGTGTATCTGTAGTGATAATACGGATTAAATGTACCAATTATTCATAAAAACGGGTCCATTACCGTTGAGCAATAATGCATAAAAAGAAACGAAATTTCTGCCAGAAGAACAGTGGTTCCGTCAGACTGAAGACGAGAGTGATGGTATTCAGCGATACAGTACAGTTTAGGGTAGTTCAAATTGGTACATTGGGAGTTACAATCAGGTTATCATACTGCTGAAGTAATTGACGAGTGGTATGTCATTTATCGTTCACATGATTTATCCTACCACTTAAGCGCACCACTGGTGATGAGTTTCAGCTAGAATAAAAGCGATGTATATTGTTGCTTCAAAGCTAATCAGTGACATGAGTGACACATTGACATTGTGCGGTGGATAAAGCTTCAAGATTCGAATCTTGTTTTTTATCTAGGGTGGATGTTATCCCGGTTGACAGGCAATTTCGTTACCTATCAACTATCAACATTGCACAACCAAATAAAAGGCTTAATTTAACTATTAGCTTAATCAAAATTTATGCAGACCTTCTGCGAAAGGATTCTCTAAAGGAAATGGAAAATGGGAAATGGGAATCTCCACACCGTTTTGCTCATCGTCTTTGCGATGGTAAATAGCATAGTCGTACACTCTGGTAAAAGATAAAATGTGACGTTATTTCAGGTTTGAGGTAATATTTTAGATTTTCAAATTATACATGAATAAATTGCATTTATGTATTCCGTCTTTCAAATCTTGAAGCTTCACTGTATTCGTCCAAATCGTTCAAGCTAAACGTGCATGATTTTTTAAATTCCGAGCTCTTTTGGCTTTATTTCAGAAGAACTCCGCCCCNCCCCCCCCCCATTGTTCAATCCCATCTGCTGCATATTCATTTGTTGGGGGTTTCCGTTGTACCCGTAATGAAGCACGATCAGACTCATTAAAACCGAATTCCTTGAAATCCATATCATACCACCCGGAGTAACAGAAAGACACTGGCGTTTATGTCAACTTTAATATTATATATATTATTTAAAATGTGACCAATGTGACATGAAAGAAGGTAGTCTGATCTCATTTGCCCATATGCTCAGTTCTATCCAATCAGACTTCACGGAGTAGAACCATTGATTTCACTCGGTTTCCCTGGAGAAAAGCCGTAGGTCTCACAAAGCGTAATCACCACTCCTAATCTGGCACTTGGGTATTAGATTCTGATGCCCAAAGTCATTCTGTGTATGACAGTCGTCATACTTGAATCGATGTCGCTTTCGGTGGTGTTCGATATTCTGATAAATCAGACTTCCAACAATGCACCTGAGTTACTGTATCCAGACTGATGGGATCAGTTGATTACTACTTGATGAGTTACTTTATAGGTTACTTTATAAGTTAGAACAAATGCTTTTAACCGATGCTGATAAGTTGAATTCCTATAGTGCGACAGAATGTGGCATCCGGTGCGTCCGGTAGAAAATATATCAAATCAATTGTATTTGGTATTTGGCTCATTTGATTAGGTGATTATTCAAGAGCTGTTTTCGGACCCGAATTGATTGAATTCACTGAGGTGATTCCATCTATTGACAATATAGTGCATCCCGCAATGATAGCTCCCGTTCTAGTAGAGCGCAAGTTGGGAGTCAATTACTTCCGAGGATTTTACAGGCGTGTAGAAACAGAAGTTTGGAGACTCTTTCCGGAACAGGAACAGTGCCATCCTACCATCTTACTCGATAGGAGGAATTGTAGGTAGAAATGAATATAACCGAAAAGTAGGCCAGTTTGTGGTAAAATCAAAGCTGGTGTTATGGGTGAATATACTGCAGAACTTAAGTGATTTGCCTACACTGGGCACGTTTTAAAACAACCCGCTCACCTGGCAAATCGTATTTGCCTATCTTAGCGCTTACTTACTGTTTTCAGTTGCTGCGTCTGCTTGTATGCAGATGTTTACAGTCAAGACTAATTTGTTGCTTCAACCGCAACCTGTCAAAATCTGAGTTCGTTTGCAGTACTGCTTTCAATCAGGATTCGGAAGCCTACTTGAGCAAATCGTGCCTAAAACGATAAGGTCACCAAACATTGAGCATACATTCCTGTTTGTATCAGCTGAGTTCCTCATCGCTGATGCCAGTTTTGCACCACAGTTCGACCGAACGTTCCACTGGTTTCAAGTGTTTCATTTCGGAGTTTTGTAAGTTTAAAAGAAAGTCCTGTAGAACAAAGTGCAACTGCGTGGAGAATAAATTAATAACACATCCTATATAGATCAAATATTAACTACACTATCATTTATAACACCGAAATCGTACCGAATAACCGTATGCAAGTGGTAGAAGAATAGCCACCTCAATAATTGTTTTTTACTCCATTTGTCAGTAATAGCATGCAATTGTAAGATGCACAGTTATTGCTCATAAACTAATAATTAAAAACAGTCGAAACAAAACCTGGGTATGATTGTATTGTATGTATTTTATCGTGGTGATTTGTGCAAGAAACTATCCCTACATTTCAGTCAAAAATGTGCTCACCGTTAAAACGGGATAAAATGAAAAAGTCAAATAAAATAATTGAACAAAAAATCACCTTCGGAGATTTAAAATTCTTTATTTTAGGATCTTTATCTTGTCAGTTAGAATATGAGCCAAATAGGATGCTGTTGTTGGATTCCAATAAATGTTTACATGGGAGAATAAGCAACGATAATTGTATTGCGTTGAATTGTGGGAACGACGAGCAGATAGATCAGGATTGAGAGGGTGACTGGGGTCGTTAAGTATCTTATGGGTGAAATTCTCAAATATGGTAGTATGAAAATCACACAATTTTGTCGTTGGTGTGTTTATAGGAATAAGAAAAAAGGCTAGTAATTAGGAAATCGCTGCGAACAGTAATGAAATCCTTTTTAATTAGTCCATGGAAAATAACGAACGGACAATGAAATGTGACAGGAAAAACGCACTGATAACGAAAAGAACATTTAGCTGAATGCTTCATGCTAAATTGTTTTTGTTTGCGTATCTGAAAGGATAAGCGATGCAAGAAGCTACAAAGAGATTCTTGCACATGGGACAGCCAACGTAGATTGCTCTCTACGATGACTCGTAGGTACTTGGTTGTGCACGTTCTGGTAATTGGGACGGAAATGATGACTGAGGGCTACAAGCGATACTCGGACCAAGAAAGACCAAAGACGCCTTCGAAACATTTAGAAGCATTCAACTGGAGATCAGATTAGTTTTAGAATACTTGCACCTGTACCAGACTGTCAGAAAATAATTCCATGTGAGATAGGTTTGAGATGGCTTAACATAAAACCATATCATGAGAATATTCAAAGATCTTGATTGGTGGAATAAACGCTAAGTCACTAAATGTGAAAAATAAGCACGGGGAAAGCACACTACCCTGGAGGATTCACGATTTATTTACTAACAGTTTTGAAACAATGCCGCTTGCTTTTGTTCTTTGAACTCTTCTTGTGAAATAGTCTTTCAAACCAGGTTAATAAATTGGTGGAGCCATCGAATGACGAAGAGACGAAGAGTTTGTGAAACGGAATCAAAAGCGGAAGAATAATCAAGAAAGACATGGTGAATGTTTTTCGGGAACCATATAAAGATTTACAAATAAAGTGCACCAAATGGAGTTGCTGTAGATTACTATCCCGCCTCCGTTCTTCCTCTGACTTCTCTCGTTGTCTTGCCGAAAACTTGCGAAACCAAGTATGTTGGTCAGCGAGTCCTCTATGTTTTGATTCTACAACAATTCCTGTATGCATATGACAGTCATATTTATGTGCACGCCATAAGTTGGTATGTCAGTGAGGTGAATCGATTTGCTAATGTTGGAACTGACCTCTGAGGGAACGGTCGTATTCACAGGAGACAAGTGTACAAGAGCAAGCTGCACGCTTGCATTTCTTGCTTCTAAAAGAAAGTTCCGTTCATGTGGAACCCCGTGAGTTGGATGGCACAAAAATGGAATAATTGTCCTTTAATCATAGCAATAAAACCCTAGGATAGGAACGCCGCGAGAACATGGTAGAAACCAAGAGAATAAATTCCACTACTAAAGTGAACATAAACGTAACGCAACCACTCGAAGGGCACGCAGAAGAAAGAGGTTGATCCCCCGCAATTTTTCGATCAAGTTTGAAGTCACTGCAGCCAGGGACAACTCTGGGAATTTCAATTGAGAATCGAGCTAGGTTGAGAAAATATAAAATTATTCGCATTGCGTATGTAGTGCTATGCAGTGCCAGCAAAGCCTCAGACAAATTGCTCACAAATACTGTCGGGTAGCTTTGATAGGATTACGCGTGCAGAGCCTAGAATTCATAAACCATCTCGGGAATTCCAGAAATAGATCATAAATGAAACCGTGCTCTGATACGTATAGTACCCGAGCATCAGGCATCTGAAGAGTGGTGCGCGATCCGCGATATAGAAATGTCAGGTAGTAATGCGGGATTTTTATACGGGATGAATGTGGTTGTACAATCCTTTTATATCAAATGAACAAAAGCTGACGACTATTATTAACTTTATTATTCATACTATTCTGGCTCCATGTGAGGGTTCCGCGATCAAAATCCTAGATGAGGTTGTGTTAAGCTCCATTGAACGTGTTGCTTAAATCGGTTTTTTTTCCAAGTATCTATTGGAGTAGATGGTCAGATGATGACTGTACGTTAAGATGCGACCTGAGGGATGTCGGTTGAAAGCGAAGGAAAAACCATCATTGCTATCACTGAAACAACACAAACAATGTTATGATGGAATTGTTTGTTCGTTTTATTTTGCCGGTTGTCATGTGTTATCTCATTGCTATTGTAGAATGATACAGATGCCAAAGCTCAGGTAACGCGGGGGTATGACTGACAGTCCGGACACGGCCTCATCTAGTGGTACTGGTTCTGCTACGCGACGAATTGTCCCCAAACCACCACCCTTGGTGGACATTCGCCGCACACATCTAACAGTGGCAGGTACATCTGATCCACACCGGGCGATTCGGTCTGCAACAAGCACAGAAAGCGCAGAAACCGTATCCGGTTCCCGGTCAGATTTACTTCGAAACGAGTACCACTCGAACCGGAACAAGACTATCCGTGCTCGAACCGTCCTATTCTGGCGACATTATGCAGTTCTCATGTGGAAAAATTTCATTCTACGTAGACGTCGCCCCGGATTTTTGGTTGTCGAACTCCTGACCCCGATATTCATAACTTGCATTCTGATCATTCTCTACAAACGGGGCACGGAGGAGAAAAATCCGGACTGTTACTCACAAACCATCGGAATGCCTAGTATGGGAGTGCTGAGCTTTGTGCAGTCAATGGTTTGTAATTTTGCCTATTCGTGCATGAAAACGGAACCACCACCACTTACACTATTCAGCAACGAAACGGGATGGGGCAATTTCTTGGCCGATGCAGCAATGCTGGCTAAGGATCCGTGGATTATTAAAGTGTGAGTTATTTTATGCTTACTCAAAAGACCATCGATTCAATTATTTCCCCAAGGTTTTGTGGATCCCGCATATATTGTGTGTTAACCAACAGATTTACTGATTGGTAATTAGATCAACTGATTAACTGATTAGTTGATGGATTGATTGATTGATTGACTGACCGATTGATTGATTGATTGATTGATTGATTGATTGATTGATTGATTGATTGATTGATTGATTGATCGAACAAATGATTGATTGGAAGCCCGCTGATTGGCCGATTTCCTCCTCCCGAGAACTGTATTATGAGATATTCAATAAAAATGTAAAATTGACGACAGGTGAATATTGAGTAAATTGAGGCACTGTGACGTCTGAAACCATGTTTTATTTCGTCAGTATACCTGTGATAGTTGGTACTCATCTGCATGAGATTTTGAGATATTTATTATTATTTTTGAATTATCTGTTAGTATAGCTGGCTATTGACAAAGGAGGAAAACTGAAGTCCTTCTATCCCCAAGCATTTTGAATCGTCCCTAGGTGATGAGAAATGAAACAGCTACGTTTAGAAGATATTCTTTAAACGTGTGAATTTGCATATATTATCGAGCCTAAAACAGTTCAAAAGTTGAAATCTTATCCATTAAATATGCAAACTACATGACGGCCGTCATAGTACAATCAATGATTCAAAAAATAGCCAAAAGTAACTTATTCTCATACGAGAATTCTGGTATCCACTTCCCTTATTACACTCTAAAAATCTTCCCTATAAGTCCAGCGAGTAACAGAAATGTCTGAATCTTTACCGGAATACTCATCCGTAATCAACCTTACAAGTTATCACCCAAGAGTTTATGACCTACGTCGGTAAACTTCCTGAAGGACATTTCCTCATAATTTGTATGTCTACTTGTGATTTTACAAGTAATATAAGTGGAATTGCTGAATATATGCATTAATACATTGAGTGAATTGGCCATTAATCGGATTGCTTTTACGGGCACGACAGCTATGGGCAGACCGCTAAAATTCAATAATTAACTCTCATGGGGTTTCCGTTCTTTCGCTATGGATTCCCTGATGAAACCGCCTTCAGTTAGCAGTTGAACTTCCAGCGAAATAGTATCTTCGAAGTCCGTTAAATTTTATTCCTTGATGTTATTTTGGAAGTTCCTTCTGCCATCAAAAACTGTTCCCGTCGTTAGGAGGTAGTGTTATCAATTTGCAGTACATATCTATAGACGTTCAAGATCAAAACGTTTTGCTGTGCATCTCTACTTCAGTATCAATATTTTGGCAGGACCTTCGAATTTCGGCCGCTCTATCCGTTTTTTCCATCATCGGATTGGGCACTGCATAACCATAACTGTGATTGAGCTTTTTTTACCACGTTGACTGTTGCACCACTACAGTAATGACAAATTTGATCAAATACACTCGTGATTTCATGCATTCAATCAAATGGACGAAAGATGTGGCCACAACCTGTTTTGGGAGGAACATAAGGAATAAAACCAAAAGGACGTTCAAGAAGCCTTTGAAAAATCCGAGGAAGCATTGAGCCGGTTGGAGAGCTGCTCTTCGGAAACAAACCTTTTCCAGCTTGTGTGTTTCCATCATTCTTAGTTGTAACGTCCGATCTCTTATCGGAACTATGGCCGACCTCACCAGCTTAGTCAAGCTACGAGATTACGCCCAAATAGGTGTGACCATGCTCCAAGAAAGTTGGCTCCATAATGAAATTGAGGACGAAATAATACACCTGGAAGGTTTCGCTAGCTATCGTGGCGATTGTTCCGTTCCTCATTTCCGACGGGTTCGTGGTATCATCACGTTTGGCAAAAATCATTAGAGTCACCTGACCAAAATGTGTTTCCTTATTCAACATGTTATATAAACGCATCAGTAATTCAATGTAAGCCCAAACCTTTCATCTTTTCTCGGTCACTTATTCTTGTAAATGAGTTTATAGCCCCCTGTTGCTCATCTAATGTTCTTAATGATTTTTATGACTCTCTTGAAACTACACGGTTGAATATTTAGATACTTCAATCGGTATAATTTTTGGTGACTTCAATAATTCCGATACTCGTTTCTTAACCACCTTAGGTCTTCAAAATATTGTTACCTTCCCCACATTTGACTTTGGGTTTTATCAACCTTCCCGAATTACTTCTTGTAGAACGCCGCCCCCACTGTGGATGTCTAATCATTATATGCTGAAGTTTTCCCCCCACCATCTTTAGCAGAACCAAACATCGTCTCTTTACTCGAAGTCGTGATCACAAGCTTCAAGTAAGACAGCGTTCTCCAGAAAACCTCACGATGTTAAGGGAAATGATCAGACACTCCGACCTTACTTTGTTTTCCAATCCCAACCCTTCCGCTTTCTGTGATCAATCAACAGGTTAATTAAACTCTTACTACGATGTCTTTTGTACCTCAGAGGCAATTTATGTTCACCCCGATCGACTCTCTTCCCCACACTTGAAACAACTCCATCGTAGAAAGAAGCGTGCCTTCAAAATGCGCGACGAGGTGCGCTTCCTTTCTAAATCCATCCGGGCTGAACGTCCAAGTCTAAACTCTTTATACGCACGTGCTCGGCTTGACAACAAAGGTAGTCGTGACACCTGGCAAGCCCTCATGCGAATTTCTGGCATCAAATCTTCACACCGCTCACCTGCTGCGGTAGACATAGATGGTCTGAATCAGTTTCATCAACAGTGGAAGCGCTCTCACTGATCTACTTGATAGATATGAAATAAACAAGACTGATCCCGTCTCCACCGTTGCACCTGTCGATATCTATCAAGAGTTGGCTGGATTAAATCCTCACAAGTCCTGCTGCCCCGCGGAGTCTCACCCGCTGTCCTAAAAGAATGACTGCCTTCTTTCCCCTTGTACTGAGTGAACCTTTCTATGACTTCATTTCACAGCAACGTATACCCAACTGATGGAGAATAGCCTCTATCACCCCTGTACCAAAGAAAGGATCCTCAAAATTCCAGCCCATTTTCTGCAACTCAGTTGTCTTGACAGTGTTTGAAAGGCTCCTCACTAAGACCCTGTCCACACAATTCAATGTTAGTGACCCGAACCAGTTTGAACACATCCCCGCGATACCCTGGATGCCCTTGCTTACCTGTTTCTCTTATTTTATCCAACCTGGATAACAAAAGCAAAGCTGTACGCATATGTTTTCTTGACTACAGTGATGCTCTTAACACAACTGATTGACAAATTTTGCTAAATACCCTGTCTTCGGGCGGAGTTCAACCTTCTACGATTGAACTCTTGACCAATCATTTCTCCAACGGTCCGCAGTTCACATGCTGCAATGGTCTTACATGTTCTCTGCCACCCTCCTCACAAGGCGCTGTTTTATTCCCTTTTCTATTTTCTGCTTACATTTCCTCTATGCCTGTGAGTAACTCTTCTCTTCTCGTTTAGTATGCAGATGATATAATATTCAGACTGCCCTACCACAACTCAGCATTCCAAACCAATCTACAAGAAAACGTGTCAGTAATGGCTGAGTGGTCTCAACGAAGGAACCTCCGCGTGAACCCCAAAAGTCTAATGACGTAATTTCTTCCTTCTTGAAAGGGCCAAAGAATGATGAATTATCAAATGCCAGCCCACTTTTATCTATCCCCAATGACCAGATGGAACGACAGTCGTCTGTCTGAGATCAGATTTATTTGATAAATATTAAATCTGATCTCATTTT